GCTGCAACCGCTCAGACCTCCCATGTTGGCATGGAGGGGGAGAAATCGTCAATAACGCCGGCCAGTTAGCTCCCAACCAACCTCCTCTTCTCCCTCCTTTCCTTTCTGGACGTGGCATGTGACCCAGCCAGTCTGGCGACTATTTTCGCCACATGCGAGCTTAGACTGTCCACTTCTTCGGGGCCCAGATTCCCCCTCAGCCTCTTTTGGGGCCTCATGGACGAGCCCGACTCCTCTCCCCTCGAATTCTCCCCTCGAATTCCTCTTAAGGGTTTTTTTCTAAAGGGAGAGCAAACAGACTCGCCTGCACCTTGTTAGCCTCGGTAGGGGGGACCCTCGATATGTTGGCCACCCGAAGAGAAGCCGTCTCGAAAAGATTTCCTCTCTCCCGAGATCCGACGTAAGAGCAAATTTTCTCAAACTGACGCCTCTCTTCAGCAATAAGGACGCACGGATTTAACGCGTCCTTATTGATTTCGGGCCAATTGGGGCAAGATAGGACGCCGTCGACCCCGAAAACCCACACAAACCGCTCCTTCCAATCTTTGTTCGACTATGCAACGTCCAACACCAGCTTGCAACCCCCAGTGTACTGAAGGAAGTAGTGGGGGTCCTTCGTCGACTTGACGCCGACCAAGTTCCCTAACAAATGCATGCTCAGCGAGACACCGATCAGATGGCAAATCATCACAAAGCCCATCAAAACCTCAATCGCGTTGGGTGTAAAGTGAGAGGGGACACTCCCAGAGCAATGCACGCATCCCTAATAAAAGGATGGAGCGACAGCCGAAACCCATACTCTAGGTGGGCGATGTATAGCGGTGACTTGCTTTGGCCGTGACGGTGCACCGGCTCGTCCTTACTCAGCGCCGATAACATGAAAGTCTTAGGGAGGTCATAAAACTCGTAATACATCTTGAGCTCTTGGGTGCAAATCTTCAAACGGATTGGCCGGAGAAGATCTATCTTTTCTTTGTTGCGGCCAACGGTGGAAGTTTGAGCAGCCATGGAAGTTTTAGCAGCCATGAAAGATGGTTGGGAGTTTGTAAAGAAGTTGAGGAAATTTGAGAGATAAACGCCGAGAATCTAGAGCAAGAGTAAAGATCTCCCTGTGCCATCAATGAACTATATATAGCCCCCGAGGAAGACACGTGGAATAGCCTGAACGGTCGGCTCAATTAAAAATGAACGGACGAGATACGTCACGAAATCCAAACGGTTCGTACGAAACTCGAAGCGCCGCCCTCTTTACTCCACGCCCCTTCGCTCGAAAATCGAAGCGATAACTTTTTGACCTCTAATGACGTCATCACGTTGTTTCAAACAGTGATGTTTCACTTGCCCAATAAAAGCATCTGGAAATTCACCAAATGACGTCTATTCAATAAACAGTCAACTTGACCTAGTTGACCCTATAGAGCCGATAGTGGACATGCTTAAAAGAAGCATCGTGTTAACTCTCCACAAAAGTAGCCAACCCTTCGTAAAGCCAACTCGTACCTCTCAAGCATCTACCCTAAGGGGTTCAAATACTAATTTACAAGGGTCATTGACTCGATCGGCTCCCAACGAAGACACAAAAAAAATAACAAAATGACAACTACTTGAGTTCGAGACAT